GGTTACAATTGGATTCCCAAAAACAGAAATAGATCTGGGGGTGGTATCGGTTTTTTCATTAGAGATTCAATAAATTTTCGACCTCGAACTGACCTGAATAATCATGATATTGAAATTCTTACAAAAATTAGTAAACATAACATTAAACCGTTCTTAATTACAACGTGGTATCGACCACCAAATGATCCAATTGACACCCTTTATAGATTTGAGAACTGTTTACAACTAATAGACAATGACAATAAAGAAAGTATTATCCTAGGAGATGTAAATTATGACTTCTTATCCACAAGTCTATCTCCCCAAGCTTCGGAACTCAAATTTATTACAGGACTGTATCAATATGAACAATTGATAAGTGAACCTACAAGAGTTACTAAAGATACTCGGACATTAATTGATCACTTTTATACAACAAATCATGATAATATTATTTCAAAGGGAGTGTCAACTGTTTCCATTAGTGATCACTATCTTATTTATGGCATTAGAAAATTTAAGGTCTGCAAAGAAAATGCAAAAATAATCGAATACCGCGACTACAAACATTTCAACGAACAAATATTCTTGCGCGACCTACAAAATTACTTATCCGATTTTGACCTGGATCAATACGATCCAAATATATCTTGGCAGATTTGGAAGAATAAATTCTTCAGAATCTGGAACAACCATGCCCCAGTAAAAAGACGGAAAGTCGGCACTAAGCGGCTACCTTGGCTAACAACAGACCTAATTCACAATAAACGACATATTAATTTCCTACATAAGAAAGCTAGAACAACCAACACAACTGATGCCTGGTCTGTCTACAGAAAGGCAAAAAACCAATACAATAGGCAAATAAAAGATACAAAGTGCTCCTATTATCGAGGCAAACTACATAGCAATTCAGGAAATTTAAAACAAACATGGAAAACACTCAACGAATTGATGAATAGAAAGTCAACTAATAAGAAAATCCCAGAAATGAAAGATGAGAACGGTGAAGTAATTGACGAAACGTTGATCCCTAATGCCTTTAATAAATACTTTGTTGAACTGGGGGAAAAACTTGCGAATAAAATTCCTCAATCGAATATTTTACCGGATAGTTTTCTCAGTGATGTACACCAACCAGCTAATGGGCTCCCTAGCTTTCAAGAAATTTCAGAAAATGATGTTTTGACTCTACTTCATGGTTTAGGGCCCAATAAAGCATCGGGAATCGATGGTATCTCCTTTCGTATCTTAAAATTTTCGGCAGCAGTTATTTCACCATCCCTAACATCAATATTCAACCAGTCAATCTTAACAGGCATATTTCCCAATGATTGGAAAATCACTAGAATTATCCCGATCTTTAAGTCTGAAGCTGAAGATGAAGTGCCAAACTACAGACCAATATCCGTTATATCAGTAGTTTGCCAAAATTGCAGAAAAGCTGATTTATAACCAAATCTATAATTATTTACATAACTATAATCTACTTTCAAACTCCCAACACGGATTTAGACCACTTCACTCAACTGTTACAGCATTACTGGACATAACCAACGAGTGGTATACAAATATTGACATTTGGGAAACTAAATGGGATTGTATTTCTGGATCTGAAAAAAGCATTCGATACTGTCGACCACAATATACTCTTAGACAAAATAGCAACTTATGGAATAAAGGGAACGGCACATCGCTGGCTGGAGTCGTATCTATCAAATAGGACCCAGTGCTGTTGTGTGAATGGCAAACTATCAAGTCCATCAATTATGAAAACAGGCATACCTCAGGGTTCTGGTTTAGGCCCATTGTTATTTCTAATTTACATCAATATGATTTACGAAAATGTTTAAACGCCGGGACAAAAGCAGATATGTTTGCGGGTGATACCCAAATTGCAACATCAAGTGACGATATCAAAGTTATCACTGAAACATTAAATAGAGATTTAAACAATGTTGCAAATTGGCTGTCCGCAAACAAATTAACCCTGAACAGTAGTAAAACCGAATATATGATAATTGGTTCAAAGAAAAGGCTTAGTCAAGTGACTGCCGATCCTGCTATTAGTGTAGGTAACTTAGAAATTAAGAGAGTTGAAATGACAAGATCATTGGGCCTAATGATAGATGAGTCTTTAGACTGCAGGACCGCGCAGGTCGAACACATTTCAAAAAAGGTCACTTCAGGCCTTGCTATTCTCAGACGACTCCGGGATACAGTCGAATTCAATACCTTAATAACAATATACAAATCCATAATTCAACCTTATTTCGATTATTGTGCTCAAGTGTGGGGTTGCTTAGGGAAAACACTAGTAGCTAAAGTCCAAAAATTACAAAACAGAGCGTTTCGAATAATCACTCGTGAGAATTATACGACACGATCGGCTGATATATTAAACAAGCTAAAAGTTCCGAACCTCGAAAAAAGAAGAATGCAACAACTTTCAATTCTCATGTACAAAGTGAAAAACAAATTGGTCCCCGATTACTTGTGTGATATGTTCACAAATGTTGGTGATGTACACGACCATAACACAAGACAGTCGGGAGCCGATTTGACATTGCCTAAACCAAAAACAAATAGTATGAAAAATGCATTCTCCTACAGAGGTGCGGAAGTCTGGAACTGCCTTCCTGCATCGATAAAAGCATCAACAACTATTGCTAATTTTAAATCTAACTTGAAGCATGCAAATTAACATCAAGTGATCCTGCCATTGTTTCCATCTTCCTAAAATAACAATGCACGTCGAAACTGCGATCAAAAGTCCTCGCGCAAAAAGGGGGAAATTTTATGTATGCTCGTGAAGGAAAACCTTCAGAATAATTTTTGATTGGTTAATCTCAAGTTCGCATCAGTTGTTCACATGCTTAGTAGCCAAAGTTCGATTTTTATCTGATATTTTGTGATATTAACAGGACTAGAAAACGGTTCCCTTGTTCTTCCAAGGTACTTGGACCTTGTACGTACCTTGTACGGATTGATTCTTGTGACGCAGATGTGTTGGCAGACTGAAAACACCCTCGGAGAAATGGCATTAACCGCAATTTATAGCTTTGCTTAAATTGATTTTTTAATTGAACTACGGAGAAATACTTGGAGCACTACACCGGAATCGCAGCGCCGCAGGTTCGATTCCCGATAGTTGTATTTTCCACAACTGCTCCTGGTCCCCGAGCCGACGGCGCGAAGCGCCGTGCGAGGGTACTAATTCCCCCCGGCTATTTACACCCGGGGAAACGAAAGCATTACGAAGTCTAAAGTTCATCAATCATCGCGGGCGCTGACCAACGAACGACGATCTTGAGTGGGTGTAATATTTCAATTTTAAAAAACATATATTTGGAAAATCGTTTCATATACAACAAGCTTGAAGCAATTTTGTTTCAAGAAATGAGAAGAATTGGTTCACTACGGGAAATCGTGAAATATACGGCAAGTTTGCTTTGAATATTTTTAAACTGTTTACGAATTTTGTTGCTTTAACTTTTTACGTAATAAAAAACATGAACTATAGAAGCTCTAAGTTTCATAAATTACCGTTTAATTTGAGAAAAAATCTTAAAATGTAAAGGCGAACAAATTGATTTGAAGACTGAACTGAAATTACCTAACAATTTTATTTTATTTGTATTAAACTTATCAAACAGTTTATCGGCAAAATGTAGGTTTACTTGAATGAACATTTCAAAACATTTTATGAAGCGTTTCAAATCAATTGGTCATTTCTGAATACTTCATGTTTAATGTATGGCAATATTGGCGAGGGGTTTATGCTGCATGCATGTAGTTCTAGTTAGGTCTAATAAATGTACAAAAATTGCACTCGAATTTTCCATCTACTGATTATGTCATACGAACAATTATATTCAAATTATATGTATCATCAAACCTTGTATACTTAGCTTATATAGGGTGTCCCAAAAAACCCCGAAAACTATCGAAATAACGTATTGTTAGAATTTGAATGCCTCAGCACTCTGCTGAACCCACACGTGCATCAAAATAAAGCTTGACATAAGTAAATTTTATGCATAAAGAAACCGTTTAAGAAGCTGCTTTAAATTCTAAGGAGCAGAAAATCGTGCGCTTTACAAAGATATTTTAATTTCTTAATAAGTTAATATTTATAATATATGCACCCTGTCAATATTTTACGCATCTTTGCGTTCAGCTTAGTGCTAGGGCATTCAAATTTTAACAATACGTTATTTCTGTGATTTCGCGTGTTTTTTTTGGGACATCCTGTAATATAATTCTGAGGAGTTTATTCCAGCACTCAAGGATTTTCAGAGCCTAAACATGTTTGTATTGCGGCATTTAACATGATACCATAGTAAATTGTTTGCTTTAAATGCAGGCTGGCTGATGATGATAAGAATGCAGCAAAAACAGGTGTAACTGAAACAACAATGGTTCCAACTTTCTTCGTGCATCCAACCAATAAGAATATCCGTTTCTGGGACCTACCCGGCATTGGAACAACAAATTTTCCCGATTTTCCAACTTTCTGTGAAAAAGTTCACATTCAAAACTACGACACTTTTTTGATAATCTGTGCCGGAAGGTTCACAGTAAATGATCTCATGTTAGCAAAGAAAGTTAAATCGATGAGCAAGTCTTTTTTCTTCATTCGCACCAAGATCGACCAAAGCATTGCAGGTGAACAAAAAAAGAGAAATTTTGACGAAGACAAGGTTCTGAAAGCGATCAGGGATGATTGTGCTAAACAGTTGGAAGGCTTAAACAAAGGGAAGATTTTCTTGGTTAGCAGTTGGGATCGTGCTCTCTGGGATTTTGGTCGTTTAGAAAAAGCAATCCTGGATCAATTGCCTTCCAAGCAGAAAGAGTCCCTAGCATTTTCCTTGCGCTCTAAGTCAAGAGATGTTTTGAAGGAAACAATTAAAATACTCAAAGGTATGTGTGATAAATTTTTTGAGTTCATGGCACACAGGTGAAATATCAATATATGAGAGATGTCGCTAGTCTGGCTTAAGTAAACGAATGTAATCTGAACAAATTACATTAAACCAATGTTTCGACAACCTCTTCAGTCTGTATAATATCCTGCAGATGAAAGCAAAACATGGTGTAGCTCACATCTCACTCAATGGTATAGTAATGATTTGCAAATTGCCAAATGCTTTCTTGCTTATTATAATACCTTTAGCGGCCGTTGGTTAATATTTTGCGCGCCAAAATGAAAAAAAATAGCGGGTAAAGTGTTTACGTCCGTCAGCAGTCGTTCCAATGCAACAAAATGTAATAATTTTCTTTTTAGTAACGACCAGAAGGCTTTTTTTAAAAAAATTTAATAAATTGTAACAACGTTTCGGAGTTTACTCCATCATCAGGTTACATTTATACGCACTAAAAAACCGTTAAAGCATGCGACCGTTATTAGCTCGCGCGTATGCGCTTGCGTAAACATATAATTGACGTGTCCGAGAATTTAAATATATCAATTAGATAAATTAGAACTAAGTGTTTTAACGAGCGTGTCCGAAAATAGTATATAAATCCTTACACTAGAAAATTTGCTACGCTAAGCTGTTCGTATCTATTGTTCAAGTCTGGTTTTAGCTTCTGGATGAATAATGCTTCTGTGATCTTTCGGTCCAATGAGCCACTTGTTTTTTCAGAATTTTCACAGTTAACTTTGGTTCCTGTCCAGGGTGGCACTCGATATAGTGTCTGGAAAAAGCCATGTTCTTATATGATGGTGCTGTGGGATTAGCTGCGGAGCGGTAGTGTTCTTTATAACGGACGACTAAAGGTCTACTGGTTTCACCAACATAGCTTCGTCCACACAGATCGCAGTTAATTGAATAGACGACGTCTTTCTGCGAGCACTGCACGGGAATAGATGAGTTGTGGCAAATAGGGAATTTGGAAACGTCTTTGCACGACTTATCGTGGGGTCTTGACTCGACAAGAAGGTTCTTGAGGGAGCTTTGGGGTCGTTGAATTATTCGTACGTTCAGGTTAGAACGTTTAACCGCTCTTTTGATGTCGTTCGTGAAGCCACTTGACACATACGGGATAGTCAGCGTGGGGAGGGATTCTTTCTGTTTCTGTGTTGTTTTCTTTCTCTGCTTGACTCGATCAACGTAGCTGTTATCATAACCGTTCCGTATAGCTCTTCTTTTGAACGTCTGCTCAGCTTCTTCGAGTAAAGCGTCACTCGAACATATCGCGGTGTAAGTGTTGATGGTGTTACTTATGCAGGCTTGTTTCATATGTTCTGGGTGATGGGATCTTTCATTCAACATCAGACCTTTATTGGCAGGTTTTGTGTACCACCCCGTTTCGATGCATCCAGATTCGTTCACTTTGATCTTAGTGTTCAGGAATGGAAGGAAGCCATCTACGTCCGGTAATTCAATCTCAAAACGGATTGCAGGGTCTTGGGAGTTTAACTTGTTCTGGATAAACGCGGCTTCTTCCGGATTACTAGCTGGTGTGATGCAGTCGTCAATATATCGGTAGTAGAGGGAGACAGAAAGGGATAGGTCGGAGTAGATTGCTTGATTCTCAATTCTATCCATGTAGAGAATGGCGAGTATTGGTGCTAACCGGTTTCCCATCGCTAAACCTCGAAGCTGTTGGTAAAATGTTCCATTCCAGGAGAAGCAGTTGTTCTGGAAGGTGGTTTTGGTTAGTAGGATGATATCAGCCACAGAAAATTGATATAGATAAATATTGTTCCTTTCTCTTTCGATGTATGAACGTAATGTGTCGATGGCTGCGTCATTATTTACACTAGGATACAATGAAACCACGTCTAAGCTGAATAGGAATTTGTTCTTAAGTTCGCCGTTTTGCATGCTGCGTAAGTTTCTCAGTAACTGCTCTGTGTTTCGAAGATGCGCCTTCACAAACTGGAGGAGGGGATTGCATATGACTTGAATAAGCCAGGAGACTTTGTCGGCAGGGCCACCACAACGAGTAATGATTGGTCGAACTTTAATGTCGTCGAGGACAAGGTTGGTGCTCGGTACGTTGTCTGGAAACTTGTGTGTCTTCGTGAGCAGGTAAATAACAGGACACTGACTGTGGGTCGTCTTTAATCTCTGGATGGCTCCCTCATTCAGATTATTCTTTTTTCCCACGTACTCCCATACTTCATTGATCTCATTCTCGGATATCTGGGTTAGATTTTTGCATGGTCGGTAAAGGACATCATTTGACAGGTGTTTCTCCATTAACATATTGTCCATTGTGCCGCTCATCAATACAAACTCGCCACCTTTATCACTAACGGAGATTCTAACTTCTTTCGCTTTCTTAAGAGTAATCAACTCCAACAAAGTTTCTCGTTGGCTTTGGGATAGGTTAGGATGAATAGGTCGTGATTTATGTTTGTTGACCACCTTCTTTACTTCGTGTTTAAGGTGTTGTAATGACGTTTCTAGATGATAGAATTTGGTCTCTGGCGCTGTACAGAACTTTTCGAAAGGGCAATGATAAATCTTTGGTTCTATTGTTATGGCAGTGGGGTCACTTGGTGTGGTAGGGTCACCTTCGTTTGTTGATTGTTCTTCAAATATTTCTTTCCACCGTAGTCGATATGCGAGTTTTGCTAATTGTACATTAACGTCCAGCTCTGTTTGGTTGTTAACAGTCTTTGAAGGTATAAATTTGCGTCCTAAATCGAGTAAATCTTCGGTACCTTCAGGTAGATTAGAAGTTGAGCTTAAAATTGTTACTCTTGGTAATGTATCATTGATGATATTGGTTGAGGGAGGAGTATCTGACTCGGGGGCGTGAGGATTACTGCTGCCCGATAAAGATTCAAACTTACGTATGAGATTCTGTTTAGTTTTCGTTTTGAGTTTCTCGAGAATTGTGGTCAAATGGTTGTTAATTAATTCTTGCCTTATCTTCAGAGCAAAGTTTATCCATTTCGTTTCGCTTCTTTGTGATTCTATTTCTAAGGATATACAAGTCCCTGTGGTGCTGGCGAAGAGTGTTATTGAGGACTGAATAGGTTAAATTTTCGCAACATCGCGATACCTTTTTGTTCTTTAATAACTCTGAAGACACTTGAATTTTGTTCTTGATGAAGTTCGGGATGATGTTGTTTCTTTTGCAACGGTTTAAGAAATGTATGTCTTGGATCTTCTTGACATAATTCATGTTGAGCGCTGCGTAATCTCTTGCTGTTCGAAAGGAAGGTTGGTCCAACCGTAGATTCTTCAATGTGATTAGAAGCGAACTTTCTCTAAGCCTCATTTAAATGTAATAATTTTCTTTTTAGTAACGACCAGAAGGCTTTTTTTAAAAAAATTTAATAAATTGTAACAACGATTCGGAGTTTAATTCATCATCAGGTTACATTTATACGCACTAAAAAACCGTTAAAGCATGCGACCGTTAGAGCAACAATTTTAAGAGTAACAATTTTAAGAGTAACAATTTTAAGAGTAACAATTTTAAGAGTAACAATTTTAAGCTCAACTTCTAATCTACCTGAAGGTACCGAAGATTTACTCGATTTAGGACCCAAATTTATACCTTCAAAGACTGTCAACAACCAAACAGAGCTGGACGTTAATGTACAATTAGCAAAACTCGCATATCGACTACGGTGGAAAAAAATATTTGAAGAACAATCAACAAACGAAGGTGACCCTACCACACCAAGTGACCCCACTGCCATAACAATAGAACCAAAGATTTATCATTGCCCTTTCGAAAAGTTCTGTACAGCGCCAGAGACCAAATTCTATCATCTAGAAACGTCATTACAACACCTTAAACACGAAGTAAAGAAGGTGGTCAACAAACATAAATCACGACCTATTCATCCTAACCTATCCCAAAGCCAACGAGAAACTTTGTTGGAGTTGATTACTCTTAAGAAAGCGAAAGAAGTTAGAATCCCCGTTAGTGATAAAGGTGGCGAGTTTGTATTGATGAGCGGCACAATGGACAATATGTTAATGAAGAAACACCTGTCAAATGATGTCCTTTACCGACCATGCAAAAATCTAACCCAGATATCCGAGAATGAGATCAATGAAGTATGGGAGTGCGTGGGAAAAAAGAATAATCTGAATGAGAGAGCCATCCAGAGATTAAAGACGACCCACAGTCAGTGTCCTGTTATTTACCTGCTCACGAAGACACACAAGTTTCCAGACAACGTACCGAGCACCAACCTTGTCCTCGACGACATTAAAGTTCGACCAATCATTACTGGTTGTGGTGGTCCTGCCGACAAAGTCTCCTGGCTTATTCAAGTCATATGCAATCCCCTCCTCCAGTTTGTGAAGGCGCAGCTTCGAAACACAGAGCAGTTACTGAGAAACTTACGCAGCATGCAAAACGGCGAACTTAAGAACAAATTTCTATTCGGCTTAGACGTGGTTTCATTGTATCCTAGTGTAAATAATGACGCAGCCATCGACACATTACGTTCATACATCGAAAGAGAAAGGAACAATATTTATCTATATCAATTTTCTGTGGCTGATATCATCCTCCTAACCAAAACCATCTTCCAGAACAACTGCTTCTCCTGGAATGGAACATTTACCAACAGCTTCGAGGTTTAGCGATGGGAAACCGGTTAGCACCAATACTCGCCATTCTCTACATGGATAGAATTGAGAATCAAGCAATCTACTCCGACCTATCCCTTTCTGTCTCCCTCTACTACCGATATATTGACGACTGCATCACACCAGCTAGCAATCCGGAAGAAGCCGCGTTTATCCAAAACAAGTTAAACTCCCAAGACCCTGCAATCCGTTTTGAGATTGAATTACCGGACGTAGATGGCTTCCTTCCATTCCTGAACACTAAGATCAAAGTGAACGAATCTGGATGCATCGAAACGGGGTGGTACACAAAACCTGCCAATAAAGGTCTGATGTTGAATGAAAGATCCCATCACCCAGAACATATGAAACAAGCCTGCATAAGTAACACCATCAACACTTACACCGCGATA